TTTAAAAGCTCGCAGCCTGTCTGCTCTATCTCTGTTTAACTATTAAAGTGTTAAAAAATATGCCCAGAGGAAGAATTTTGTGGCTTCATGTGCTTTCAAACTTCCATGTCCGTAGCTGACAGCCGATGGTGGGATATGTCCAGGTTTGGATATTTAGGCTACTGTGGATTCATGTCATCTTCTGCTGGATTAGATTCAGACTGGCTGCTGCTGGATGAAAACATCACTGGTAGGTTCTTTTATATATTCATTATTTGTGATGACAGACTCATAGATGCTGACTGTCTGTCCTGTTTTTGAAATACTGTTTGTTGCTGCTTGTGTTGTTGTTTGTTGTTTTTTATTATTGTAGTATCATAATAATTCCATGACACACATTGCTTGCATACTTGAAGCCTTTGTTTTCATAAGTGGGTTAATTATGTGGCTTGATTGTGTAGGCCACTGGTTCCCAACCTAGGGGTCGGGTCTCCCACTAGGGGTCGCCAATGCTTCATAGCGGGTCTAGAGGCTTAATTTTAAGGTGTGCTAGAACACTTAAAAGGTATACACAGTAGGGATCTATCTCAACATTTGGTTCACTTCTGTGAAGAAAAGTAAATGTTAAGTACATTGTAAAGTAAATTTTCTAATAGAACAATGGCCAAATGTCAGGTACAAGACTGAATTTGTCAAAAAAAAAGCCTTTGAAGTCTGTATGAATTTTAAACAAGTTTAAAAAATACATAATACAGACAGAGAAATGTATAAAAAGTTCCTTAAAGAGGAAATAATCTGCTCAAAGTTCATTCAAATCACTCGCAAATTCTGGAAGCTTCTGAGTTCACTTCTTGAGTTCATTGTAGTTATAATATGAAATATGTCACTTAGTCAGGGGTTGTCAATTTAATACATGATAGAAAAGTAGTCCTTTTTTAATGAAAAGGGTTGGGAACCACAGGCGTAGGCTGTATGGGTTGTATGTTGTTGTGATTCTTAAATATGGGCAACCTGTTGGCCATTAGATGGAGCTCTTTATCAAGTAACTTCTCTTCCCACTGTTCACATGTTACACATTGCTGTTAAACTTGCTCATGCATGCACCACACACCCCAAATCACTAAGAATCCTTTGCAGATCTGTAATGAGTAATGTTCTTTCCTCTAAACCTCCTGACTTGAACAGCCAGGCCTTCTGCCTCCCAATCCATTTACTCAATTAGTCAGCCAGACAATGTCACGCAGTGTCATCAGGATGTGAGTGATCTCTCTCTGGTTATAAGCAAAGCAGACCTGTTGGGATTGTTTAAGTGACTTTATGCGACTGACTGTATTTAAATTTATACTGGGAGTCTTACATCACAGAAGGGCATACATATGCAGTAGCCTAAAGCCTGTACACGACACCCAATTACAATCAGTTTTTACGGCAGTGAAATTTAATGTATTTACCGTTTGAAGATGTCTGGTTGCAAAAATAAGTAATGTAGTGAAGTAAATAAAGATCACACAGGATCACATTCACTGCAGCAGTCTAAAGCCAGCCCAAGCCACATATGCAGAGTTTCAATATAAAATATATCAATATAAAGTCTCTCCATTTTAGTAAGGCCTGTCACTAACTTGTGACCAACCAAACGCGCACTGAACCCAACTAGACAATTACAGCTGAATCCAGTCACACCACAAAAACAAAATATTCCAATTCCTGCCCCTTCAGCTGTGACAGTTTCAGACTGAACGTTTCAATCAATGGAAAGTGAATTCACAATGAGAGTTAAACTGTGTATTTTATTAGCTGATAGATAGGAAAACGTAAATTTCTCTGGCTCACAGGAAACCGAGGCGATAGTCCTGTTTGCTATCCAGAACAAACAGTGCTCATAATCCAGAACCAGAGCGGTGGCTGATATGACTTGCTAACTAGACAGATGTCCATTATGCAAATGTATTTCCTCTCCAAAGCCTGTGGGCATGTAACAGAACTCAGTTCACGTTTATTCCAAGCAGAAGTCTTCCTCTTATTTCAGTCAGTTTATTGCTCTCCAGGGGCAATTCTCTGTCATCTTGACTCCCACAAGAATAGACATTTATATCAGCCCTATTTCCACACTTTCAACCGTAGGGAAAAACATTTTATTGGCTCAGACTCCTGAAATATAACTCTAGGACATATGTATTTTACTTAAATTTATATATTTAAATATTTTGTAGACCTCTGCATTGATGGGGTGACTGAGAATGTGTGTTGTAAAGTAAGAAGAGGGAAAAACAAGTTTTTATCAGACCCAATTACCCACAATACGTTTGAAAAAGTGTGTGAAATGAGTGTGAAATTAGATTAGGTTTTGCATATTAGGCTTCCTGTTGATAAAGCCGCCATTTCTGGCCTACGTAATTATGACAAAATACAAATCTCTCAGTTTGTTGATGGATTAGAATTTTAATTAGTTTAGGGTTTGGCTGCCAAGACCAATGGCAAGACAGAAACACAAACATTGAGCGCTGAAAGAGAGCGAGGGTGCAAGAAAAAGAAATCTGAATCCAAAGTGGTACTTAATTCACCTTTAACGCCTTATTGTGCATCAGTGAGGGGTTTGTAGAAGAATGAAAATGGTGCAATAACATAGATTCTGATTGATTTAAGAATGTAATTGTCTTGTGCATCCTTTTGCTGATCTCGACCCGTCGCTGCCACACCCGCTCTGAAGAGAGGACAGGGAAATGAGTGGCGTCCTTGTATAATAACACACAAGGACACATTATATATTCACACCATTTCCATGGGTGTTCCCATTTTCATACCAACACCGCATTTTAACAAGGTGTGCCAAATTTAGACAGCCTGTGTGTCACTGAACGATGTCTCCCCTTCTCACTCATCAGTCACTCGCTGAAGCTGTGTTATTTCCTCCTTTCAGTTTCTGATGAGTAATTCTGTTCCAGTGCAAATGGCTTGTACCTCAGGGTCCAGGAGAGACGGCAGACATGTTGATGGTTTCTCTCAAATGGAAATGCTTTGTCTTTCCAGACCCTCATCAGTGTGGTAAAAACACAAACGCACCATCAGTTACTTTTTATGGAGTTCACAGGAAGAACTCTGTCAGATATTAGGAATGTGCGTCACATTAGACAACAGTCCAACCCAGAGAGCAGTCCTCAGGGCAGTTTGTTCCTTCTGCATTTCCACTTGATCCAATCACAGAGGGGGCAAGCAGGGCTTGAACGGCTTAAACAGTAGGGGGCAGTATGACACTAAATACACATGTTGCAAAGGTGTAAAACATCTGAGGAACACAGCATTGTTACAGGGTGATATTTGAGTCCCCCCTCCACTCAAAAATATATCTTGGGCCAATTTTCAACTCATACAAGTGTGATGTCCACACCCACATTGGTTTCTGTAGATTCCCACTTTGCAAATGACTAAGTGGTTGAAACATCCATATTGTGCAAGAGCTATTACAAATGAAAAAAGAGCCTAATACAATTCCAGGATCACTATGTCTCATATGAAACACATTGTTATTATCATATCCACTTTGATATAATTAATAGTGTACATCCAATAACAGATAGCATAGCATATGATGGGTGATGCTTGAGCTCATTGAGTTACGTCAGACATAAAAGCCTTATGGCCCCTGGACTATTACAGCAAATCAATAAATATACTGAAATATCAGCCTTTAATTGCCTAAATTGAGTATGACATAGAATCAGGGTCGCTCATAATCAATAATCCTGTTCGACAGAGAGAGAGAGAGAGAGAGAGAGAGAGAGAACATGCGTTGATATGAACAAGCAGATCTGGGGAGGTCCCATTCACTGGACTTTTTCAGGGACTCTGTCATGTCTGTTGGTGGGCCTGCACAGAATGAATCACAGACTGATCCCCCACATCCTCTCCCTTAATTCATTTATGCAGTCAATAAATAGGTAGGAAATATGCAGAGGATGCTCAGAGCAGCCAAGTGGTCCTTAAGGTTAAACTGAGCCTCTCAAATTTCACAAATGTGATCCAGTATCAAAGAGCAACACACCGAAACCCTTTTGTGCACCCTCATTGTAACTCCACGAGGATACAAGCACTGTGTAAACACTGTGGAGGACTCAGTGCTGCAGCTGATGGAACTATAGTGAGTAGTAATAGAGTGCTCAGATCTGCCCCAGGGTGTGACAGAAAATCACAGTGGGCTAAGCTGGTAGTGAATCATGACAATTTATAAGGGCTTACACATGGAAATATGTCACACTTGCCCACACACAGGCATGCATAAACAAATGCCCACACACATACAAAATCACACAGGCTGGCAGGTTACATTACATACGGACCAGTAGGAGCAGTCGCACAGATTCAAAATTCCCCTTTCAATTCTCACATTACATGTTTCGTCTCTCACATTGGGCCTCATGCTGGAACAGATTTGTCCGTAGGTGGCACGTACAAGTGACCTAAGAGAGTTTGTATTGATCTTGTACATTGTGTTAGCTCACACAACACGTTTTTCACTGGCCTTTCTGCACAGCCAGAACCTGCGTCTTTTACGCTCACACTGTACGGATGAATGCTGTGACCTTCAACACACTTGCATGTCAGAC